GGCCCCACCCCGGCCACCCCGGCTGTCCGGCTGTCTGCCACACTGGCTGTCCGGCACGCTGGCTGTCCGGCTGTCAGCCCGCCATGGTACCAAACCCTTCAGGAGCGCCCACAGCAGCGATGTCCCCGTCGGGGCGCAGAGGCCTGAGGCCACGGTGCCACTGGCCGCTCTCGTCCCAGCCCGACGCACGCTGTGCCACCCTACGGCAACCATACAACAAATGGGCAGGGCACAGCGCACAAACAAAGATAATGCGCATATACAGGTATTGTCTAGTTCCATTTCTATTTTAGATTTCCTTTTGATTATTTCATTTTGTAAATAATAATAATAAAAAGTTAGACACCTTGTTTCGTATGCATTTTTTTTCCCCTTGGATTTTTTTTTTTTCCCCAACAGCAGTCAGAAGTGCCCCCGCTGGGCATTTGTAATGCTGTGGCACATCACACTGCACAGCACAGTATTTGATGTCTCTTTTCAAATGCTTCAAATCGTGGAGGTTATAGTTTCTGCTGGCATTGGCAGTTGATGTTAGAAATTCTCCAAGGCTGCCAGTTATTCCAGCAGGGCTCTAAAGTGCTAGGAAAGCACTTCCAAATGTTGCTGTTAAAGGTTATTAAAAGGTACTGGAAAAATCAGCACATGTCTGCCAATCCCAACCAGGTCTTTGTTCTGCTTTATAACCTCCACCCTTGCTAAGACTTAGCCCTTGCTTAAGCCTTCCTCTCACTAGAAAAACCATCTAATTGGTTTGAGGCTTATCAGAGGTTGTCTAAGACTTATCGCAAGGCTTTTCTGACTGCAGTAGGTTCAAAATCAGCATCAGTCTTCGCATAGAAGTGTCCAAGTGTCAGGAAAAGAGCTGACAGTCAGGTATTGGAGAAGATAATAATGAGCATGGGAATAATGAGCTATCAGCAAGTGTCTTGAAAGGCCAGAATCCCACTGCAGTTCTCCTGAGCTGGACCGAGGGCTCGCGAGCCCATCACCACCAGTCTGTGTGCATCTCATAAAGCAAAAGCTTCCTGACTGTGGTCTGAGGAATGCATAAACCCATCAAACGACGCAAAGGCTCTACTAAGTATGGCTGGGCACAGAGCCTGCAGAACCCATCTAGCCAGAATGAAGGGTTAAGAGGAACATTGCTTTCTGTGGCAGGATGCTGTCCATGTCTCCAGCCGCAACCATGTGCTGTGGACTCAATGCCCATGCAGGGAAAAGGCACAAAGGACCAGCAATGCCTCGTTTTTCCTGGGTTTGATCTCTGCCCTGAGGATTCAGCCCACATGGATTCACAGCCCCACAATGGCACCGAGTCGGCAAGCTGTGACAGCCTTGCTCTGAGGACACATGACAGAGGGACTGCCGGGGAATCAGAACGTGATCCTCAACTTCTGCTGACACAACAGGAACCTTTTAACGTGAAGAGCTGCGAGCTGAGCTGGTGGAAGCCACGGCTGCCCGGGAGTGAGGCAAAGAGCAGGCAGAGGAATGGAAATGGCTTGAGCCTGCCTCAGGCACGAGGCAGGTTAGTGTGTGCTGTATAAAACAGTGCAAAGGCTGGGACAGCTTCATACTGCTGTAAGATGGCGACAAGAGCACCTCTGTCTGGAGACTCCACACAGGACAGTTGTGCAGTCCTTCAGGTCGCTCCTGGGACTGACAATCCCCCCCAACACGGATCTGCCTGCTTTCCCCACGCCACCAACTGAGCACCAACAAATTTGTTGCAGGCATGTCTGTAACTGGAAGCAGTGGTTGCGCTGGAAAACGCAGCTCTTTGGTATGAGGCTCCTTTAAGGGAGTTGCAGGAAGGAATTAAAAAATAAAAAGAGAGAAGTGGAGTGGTTACCAAAGCTGCTAACCACAGTGCCAGGGAGCCTCAGAGGGCACCAGGACAGCCCAGCGTCATATGCCTAACACATCCTGTCTCCAGACTTCCTCGCCCGCGATGTACGTGGCTTGCACATACAGTCTGTCATTGAGCATCAGGAAATCTGTATCGGACAAGAGAGAAAGGAAGCAGCTGTCAGAGAAATGGAGCAGCTGAAGCTGGCTGGGAAGAGCTGGGCTCCGTGGGGAAGAGCTTCTCTCCACCCCAGAAACAGCAGCAGAATGGCAGTGCAGTGCCCACCTATGGCGGCTCTGCTCCATATTTGGCTCAGACGGGGGGCTCTCTACAAAGGTCTCACGAAGCATCACCAGCATCCCAAGGAAAAACCACTGGAGCAAAAGCCCAGAGCAGATCCCAGGCAGAGCGAGTCTCCCTGCAGCTCCCACTGAAGCAGGGGATGAAGATGCGTTTGCAGCACCCGGGAGCCCTCACACTGTTGTCCCCATACCAGTACCTGCTGTCCCCATACCAGTACCTGCATCTGAGTCGTAATTTAGTGTCCCCTTTTTGTGTTCAATCCCCAGGAGCTGGGCAGGATGCAGAGACGCTGCCTCCAACGCAGTCTCTACTGAGCACCCTTGGACAGAGAAGGGGGGAGACATTAGGGCAGCAAACAGTCCCATTGCCAGAGCGGCCCAAACCCCCTGGCTAAGGCCTGGCAGGGACCCAAGCTGGAACACCCTCACCACAGCTGGATGGAGCTGGGGAGGGGAAATATCCCTACAGGAGGCAGTGGGAAGAGGAGAACTGAACACCCAGGGTATGGGGAGGGGAAAATCATTCACTTTTGTGAGAAAGGAGCAGGGGAGTTCACCTCTCTTTAGTGCTATGGGTTAAAATGAAACCTCCCCTCAAAAAGGTGCTCATCTGAGGCCAGTGCTGCTGATCCCATCCCTTCTCATCACGAGAGGGAACATTCCCTGGTGGAGTGGATACAGCTGGCAAGAGTGAGACCTCTTCCCATGTCAACACAGGGAGCAACAGCTTGTGGACAAGACTCACTTACCTGTGGCTTCTTGGAAGTGTCGCACACATGTGTCCATGGTCGCCACACTACCGCTCAGGGTCTTTGTGCCTGGGAGAGGAACAGGATAGTGCTGAGCAGATCCCAGAACTCGTAGCAAGAAGCGAGGCAGTGAGAATGTGTAATGTGACCAGAAGGGGCAGAAATCCTGGGCTGCATGAGGAGCAAGTTGAAGGGCCATTGCTGCCGAGTGACAGAATGAGGCAACAGAGAGCCCGTGCTGGCAGCGCAGGGAGAGGTACTGAGATGTCAGCCCACAGCCCCACTGTAAGACCAGCTGGACTGGGTGAAACTAGCTCACAACGCAGGCACCTGCTGCCAGAGACAGAGGAAGGGAACTGAGAATGGAGTGATCCTTCTCTGAAATACCTTCCCAGTCTCCAACTGCTTGCAGCTTAGGGAACTTAGCAAGAAGTGGTAGTGCCAAGTAAAAAAAAAGGACAATAAATATCTGTGGGATTTCTCTGTCCTTTCTGACCCTGCTGGAACCTCTGGCATCCATGACACTGGGCAACAAGGCATTCAAAGGTGTTGCAGACAGCTACAAATCAACAGATTCCTCCTCGCTCCACGAAGATGGGGTGCTTTCCCTCTTTACGAGGTGCTTCATTCTCCCCAGGGCCAAGTCACTGCAGAGCCATCAGGCACCAAAAGCCATGAGGGTTGCACAAGCGCTGCCTCACACTGACAGGCGCTGCACAGTGCGCTGGGCTCTCCAGAATGGGCATGAGTGGCAGTGCTGCCCCCAGCTCTTTAGCAAGAGGCACTGACCTGCAATGTAGGTGTTCAGCCCATCGATCTCCACCACCTGCTGACCCAGTGTGTGCCGACCTGGTGCCAGCCCCATGCCAGCGATCGCATCCGTCACCAGCACCAGGCCTGAGGAACACAAGGAAAGGGCCGCATTAGCTTGCTGCAGCTCCAAGCGCTGCGCCACACTGGCCGTCCCAGAGAGGGGCCAAAGTGTCTCTAGCCACATCCGACCAAAGCAAGAGGGCTCGTGGATCAGCACACATGGCTGTCACCTCTTTTAGGCCGCCACAGCACTTGCACGAGTGTTTTGTGGGAGATGGCACAGCGCTCGGGAGGGCTGGTGACACTACGTGGGGCTGGCGTGGCTCACCTTTGGGGTGGGCTCGGTGGGCAATTCGCAGGGCGGCAGGGTTGGTGTGGATGCCATCAGAGATCATGACATAGAAGAACCTCCGTCCAACCGGGCCACGATCCCAGGGTCACGATGGTGGAACTGCCCGAGGGGAGAGAGGACAAGCTGTGGAGCATCTCCAGGACTCGTGGGCTGAGACCCTTCCCATCAGGGGATGCAGCTGCCATCTCTATCAAACAGTCCCTGGCACCTGGGTGCTCCATCCTTTACCAGACAAATCTGGGCATTTCCTTGAATTTCAAGAGTCTGCTACAGCCTTGAGCCTCTTTTAGATCAGTGTCCTGGTTTCAGCGACACAGGACTAATTTCTATTCTAATACTTGGAAAGACTGCACTTTTAGAAGACTCTGGTGTCTGAATTTGTGAAAATATTTACTTTACAGCCAGCTATGGTGTGGGGGTTTCAAGGTCTCAGTGTTTTCGAGCTCACCAGGTGCAGGGATGAGGAGGAGCGAGACCCGGGCACTTGACGCAAGCTGCCCAACAGGATTATTTCATACCATCAACGTCACATTCACTATAGATTAGAAAGTTTGCTGCAAAGTTCTCTTTCTCCCTTGATGGCTGCCACCTTGAGAACCTCACGCCCTGGTGCTGGCCTCCTGAGCCCTTCCCTTCGTCCTGAAGCCGTAACGCTTGCAGTGTCCAACATTTGCTGTCCACTGCTGGGAGTGCACAGCTTCCTACTGATAGAATTGGCCAAGTATAATCTTTGCATATTCTATATCGGTATCAGGATCAATATTGGTTCTTTAGTGCTATTAATGTTAATTGTCTAATCCTACTCTATTAAATCTGCTTATACTTCAGCTCCTGGGTTTCCTTGTTTTGTCCTGATTCCTCTCGGGTGTGGAGGGGTCATTGGATGACAGAATGATTGTCTAAAAGACAGTAAATTGTTATGGGTCTCTCAAACCATAACAATCAGGCAGTATAAAGGTGAAGCCAGAGGTTCGGTGCTGAAACCTCATGGTACGAAACAAGATGGGGAGAGCTGGAAAGCACCAAAAGCAACACTAGTGCAGGGCACGTACCCTCGGCTACTCACCGGCAACATGGCATTGAAGAGGTGAGTGATGAAGGTAGCGCCATGCTGCACCGCTTCCTCAGCCTGGGAGAGGTTAGCCACCGAGTGACCTGGGAACAAAGACCAATTCATGATTTTTCTGCCCATCGCTCCATTTATTTCCCTCCAGGAGTGACGACTCTCCGTCCCTAGGACTCTACTAGCCCCGCTCTGGGCTGAGGTCCAAGATGTCCACCTCGGCACAAAGGTGTCTGGCTGTGACCGTGGGGGAAGTCTGGCAGTGTGTTCACTGAACACCTTCACTGTTCACAACAACCATCACAAATGCTGCCTTGCTCACAGAGAGCTGCCCTCAGGCTGGGCTAGAGGTCCAAGGACATGCCCTTCTGCTGTCCCCAGATCTTTAAAGGCTACATAGAGAGGTGTCAAGGGAGGAGAGACAGTGGGGACTTTGCCAATATAGGGATAAAACTACCCAGAAGGAAAATTCCGTTTTCCCCAATACAGACAGCAGCTCTAATGCTCTGTGGGCAAACTTTGCCTTTCTGTGGTTCTTCACTTTATGTGGCCATGAGATAAGAGATGCTCTGCCCTGAATGCCCTTCTCACTTAAGGTTTAATCTCACCCTGATTAACGCCCCCTCCTTTTTTTTTTTTTTAAAAAAAAAAAAAAAAGATTTCTTCAATGATCTGAAGCAAAGAAGAGTTTGTGAAACAAAGGACAAGAAAAATGCAGCCAGTTTTAAGTCAGTGGCCTGAAAGACATTGGAGGGAGAGGTCTCCCACAGCACTTCCGGTTGAAAAATGGAGTTATCAAAACTCGACAGTAACCTTTGGAAAATGATTTCACCTGTCAAATAAGGCCTAAAGCAGCTGAACTTCAGAGTTTGAACCCTTCCACGCTGTCAGCCCTCAATTACATCTTTATTCAAGTAAGACTGCTATTCTTTCCTATGTCTGAACAGCACCAAGTGCTGCCTTGTGTTAAACTGCAGGGGCTCCTCTATCAATATGAAGTTTGGCCCTCACCGTACAAAGGGCAACAGATTCGCAGCATCAGGCGAGGTCCCCAGGTCTGTCACCTCCATATAGGCCAGGGAAAAGAAAATCCCACCCCATCCAGTCGCACTGAGACACCATTAGAGATGCTACAGCCCTGAGAGGGGCTGCCTGGCCTGCATAGCACGGGGAGATGGAGCCTCCATCAGCCTCCCCTGCCCCAGCCCTTACCGAGAGAGACGCAGATGCCCCGCTTGGTGAGTTCCTGGATCACCTCACTGCTCCTCTTCATCTCTGGGGCCAGGGTGACTATCCGGACATCGTCCAGGGACCCGTAGGTAGCAAGCAGGTCCTGGAAGGCACCTGCCTCGAAGGTGCGGAGGCAGTGCTCCGGGTGCGCCCCTTTCTTCTCCTTGCTGATGAACGGTCCTTCCAGATGGGCCCCTGCCCAAACAGGAACACAAAAGCATGACCCTTCCTCTCCCCACCAAGGACCAAGAAACCCGCTGCGCCTACCCTGCTCCAGTCAAGCTCTTGATGTTCTCCTGCAGCAAAACACATGGCTCGGGTAAATCTGAGCTCAGCACAGCGAAAGATGCAATGCTGGCCACTGGCCAAGCCAAGCCACCCCCCCGCCACTATTCTGGTG